CGTTAGTCCTAAAATCATGTCATCAAATAATCCATATGTAATGATTTAAAAAATGGCTTTAAGAATAAAGGAAAAAAATAATAAACTAAAAGGAATCTGAAAGCTTTCAGATTTTACATTACGGCCAAAGGAGCGTTTCTATAATGTCTTGTGTGTCAACCTTTGTTTATTAAATATAGTGTTCTTCGCATTTAAACCATAAAATTCGATTCAATAGCAATAGCGCAACATAATTTTAAAATGAGCATATCTTTAGAGTTTCCGATACAACAGTTCCTCCGCCCGCGCCGCCTTTGGATATAAAATGTTGCTTTGTTTGGTAAAGGGGCTTTGTATCTGGGAAAGGACTATTGTTTTTCGTTTTGTCCCTTTTCTTTTTCCTTCTTTTTTCCCTTTCCGTTTTAATTTTGTGGATTTTGCCTTGTTTCCCCACTATAAATGAATGGTTCCGTTTTTCAACTTTCAAACTGTTGCCAACCAAATGGTTAGAGTCTCCCTGCAATTATAATTGTTTGAAGAGTAATAATGAAAAAAATTTGCCATAAATGTAATGGAATATTTTCTCGCATGGTTGATAAAACTACGGTACCTAGAGCCATCGAATTTTTGAAATGACGTTAATCCTTACTTTGCGATATGGGCATGTGGAAGCCCAAATTTTGAAATTTTTTCTTTTCTACAAATTTTGTTTTTATTAAAATCATTTTCGTATTTTTGTAAAACTTAATGAAATTTTTTCATTAAACGAAACTCAAGGGATTTCAAAGCCAAGGCATGGTCAACGTTGTTAACAGAAAAAAACCTTTTTTATCGCACTCAGCGATGCCGAACTCTGTATCGGAAATTCTAAAAGATATGCCTCCGGTTAAACTAATTTGCGATATTGCTCTTGAAACTGAATTTTATGGGTTTTTCAGTCCCGAAGAACTTTAATATTTAATAAATAAAGTAAAACAGAAACAAATGTTTAAGAAAACGAACGCCCCCGTTTGGACTAATTTCAATCTGAAACCTTCCAAAATTTTTTTTTTAAATGATTTATTTATATTCCCTTATTTCCCAAGGAAAGTAGGGGGCCCCCCCCTGCACATGTTTTTGAAAAACGTTGAGTTTGTTTTAGTCCAAAAATTTTTAAAAAAAGTGTTTACAAAAATATGAAAGCGATAATAAAACAAATTCCAGATACCAAATTAGAGCTAACCAGATGAAATCTTTATCTGTGGAGCCGCCCGTTATTCAAAATTTGAATGACTCTAGGCACCACACCATTTGTTTTTTTAACACAATGCGAAGAACAAATTTATGCATTTATGCAGATTCTTTCATCATTTAATTTCTTTCTTTAAAATATACGCAGGCGCTAATAGTTTTTTGTGGCAATAATTTTTGAAAAGTTTTGAAACGACCATTAAAAGTTTTGTCGACCAGAGCAAAATGCCAAAAAACGAAATTAATAGCTAGCCCTTTCTGGGTTCACAGCCCGTTTTGGGCTAAAGAAAAGAAAGAAAGAAAGAACAATCTGAAAGCTTTTTTGTAATGTTATAATTGGCGCCCAAAGGGGGCGGTATACTTTCATTACATGCACGTAATATGTTTTTTCGAGAAATCATTTAACTTAATGTTCTTTTGGCTAAAATATTTAAAAACAGCCTATCTTTCTTTTTAGAATTTTTTCCGATAGACAGTCCCCTCGCCGCCCGCTGAAGATAAAAATTGCTTTTTTTTTTTTTTTTTTTTTTTTTTTTTTCTTTTCTGTACATTTTTGGTTGTCATTGCTTTGCTTGGAAATCGTAGAATTTGTTAATTCGAAATTCGTTAAAAGTTTAAAAACAAATATGAAATACGCCAATAAACAGATTCGAAATCTGGCCCGTACCAGGTGTCCCATATTTCTGTGAAAGGCTAAACGTTATTCAATTTTTTATAGCCTATAAGTAACCCTTGTTTTTTTAACTATGTCGAAAAGTTATTGCTATCCATCGCATTTCAATCAATTCTTCCATTACTTAATTTTTCTTTATAAAAATGTAAAATACAGAGCGATAATATTTGGTGGCAACAATTTGAAAAGTGATTCAGACTTTTATCGTGATTCAACGCAAAACCTCTTTTTGAGACTAATAACTCTTCTAGGATAACGCTCTTTGGGTTAAGAAAGAAAGAAAGAAAAGAAAAGAATTCATCTCTGTTGCATAACGCGGGAATGGAAAAGCCCAGATGTAAGAAATTTGAATGTATATTCTGTAAGGATATCCGTATGAGCTCCAAAACGATATTTTCAAAATTTGATTAATATTTTACTTTTATTTAATATTGACGCGATATTTATGGATCCCTTGCATATATTATTGTTTAGCAACTGACATATTCATTACAAAAGAATTTTAGTTTTCACAGTCAAATAGAAGTGAAAATAATATCCCAGATCTCTGAATCGCTAGCATAATTTACCGATTTTTCAAACAAACATTCCAAATCAAATTATCCTTCCAATGTTCTCAAACTGAAGCGTCAGATACTTGCAGTTCAAATTTTCTTGGATAGTGAGAAATGATGTTTCAAACATTTTTACAAACAAGAAAGGTAAATAAAAATTCGGTGAGTTTCTGAAATGTTACTCTTTTGAGTACTGCTAAGGAAGTCTACGCTTCTTTATTGATCAATGGCTGTTTCAATCACTCATTTCTTCACGCGAAAATGACATGATATCACTTATCTATATGTATAAAGAAGAAAGTCTGTGTGTTTGTTCGCTAATAGTAACTAAAATCTGAGTTATTAATTAAAAACTCAGAAAAAAGATAATTTTCGCCCTCATTTTTTCTTCCCCCCCCCTGCAAGCTGGAGATGAAAATCTGCTTTATTTCGAGAGTTGTTGCCACTGTTCGCCTTCAAATCCTAGTGTTTGTTAATAAAAACACTTCTAAAATTCCTTTTACGATGAATAAAAATAGCATTTGCCCAAACATTAATTAAAAATACATGTATTTTTTTCCCCACTGCTTTGTCCCAAAATTCTCGGAAAGCCATTTTCGACTATTTCCCAATCATTCGTAATGAACTTTTAAAAATTTCAGACGAAATATGTAATTAAAAATTTCGAAGCGCCTCATTTTGTCGCATGTTCCCGCACGTAGACATTTTTTTTCCCGGTGGCAAACAGTCTCACGCGTTTGGAATAAAATGCCCTTTATTAACGTTGTTGAACTGCCTTGTGCTTTTAAATAATCGATAGAGTTTTGTTTAAATCAAAATTTTTTTAAAGTTTTTAACAAATCTATAATACACAAAAAGAAGACATGTCCAGTTGTTTGTGTGTGTTTGTTTCGTTCAGCGTTATTTGATTTCTTTTTCTGGTTAATTTATATAATATTTTTTTCCACATTTAAAAAATAATACGACTGAAATTGAATATAGTTGGAAATATGGATGGAACTTGAAGCTTTTTAACCACCATTTGAGTAGAAAGAAAGACGAGAATCAATCATTACAATCTGCGTGCCTTGGTTTGTTGATATAATGGGAGAGAATTAGTGTTATTTTTCTAAATCCGAATTTTTTTTTATGTGGTTTTCCAAACACATCAGAAACTTGAAAATTGTATGATATGAATCGTAGTTTTGGCAAGTCCCGTTATTTTTAGAAAGGTAGGAGGATACAGCGTACCGTTCTCTGTTTTAGATGCATTACTTCCTTCAATCTAACTTAAAAACTGTGGCATCGGATACTCTCTAGTAACCCTAGTATATTGAAGAACCGATGAGAAGTTTTTTTTTTTTCATGTTACTAACAGTTTTATAAAACAATTCATGAAAAACTAATATAATTCATAAGAGCGTTTTTCGTATTTTAAGGACGAAAATTTATTAAAATTTAAAATTCCTACTAATCCTACTTGCCACCCGTTTTTTTCTCCCCTTCCCTTTTAAGCAAACTCACATTCAGTTTTTTTTTTAACTTAACTCCAATACTCCCCATACCTGATAAAACTTAAATAAACAAACGTTTAGCTATTTTTTTTTTATCATTCTGTATCCTCAATTCCAAAACATAAGGAGGTTTTTTTTATAAATTAATTTTTTTTTTTTGTTTGTTGCATAAAAAGTTTATTTGTAACTATATAATAATTTCTGTATGTATGTTTAATATTCGTAATTCATAAGGTATTTCTAAAATTCATAATAACATTTAAAACTTTTAATTTGCTATTTTTTGAATTTAAAAATTTTCTTGTCTATGAGCGTTCAGGGAACCAAAGCATAGAATTTTCCCAATAATAAAAAATGAACTTCTTTCTTTTGTTCGTGCATTGCGAAATGATGTATGTGCGGTATCTCCAACGTTTTGGACGGAAGCGAACATGACATTTTATGGAATGACGGAGATACTTCAAACACCGATTCACATTACAACAGTGATATTGATACCCTGAGTGATTTATTATGAAGTGATTTATTATGAATTATGTATTATATTATTAGAAATTTTGTCAATCTTCTAACAGAGATTGTGAATTTTATGACTATAAAACTATTACCATAAAAAGAAAAACGCGTCTTTTTTTGTGTGTGCAACTGATGAAAAGATTATTTAATTAACAGCACACATTTGGTAAAATTACTGATTTTATTATAATGAACTTTTTTTTATATCAGTAATGTTTTAGCATTAGACTGTACAATATTGTGTAGTAGATTGCCCCACATTATAGTTGCACCTAGGCTTTCACAATGAAAAATTGGCCCCCCAAAAATGTGTGACTATTACGCGTGTAAACACAGTATTTGAAATCTGGATAACTGGAGTTCTACTGTACTTTCTAACAAGATTTTCAATTAATTGTACGCAGATTATTGCATTTGAAAATGTTACCGTATATCATAGTCGAAGTTTGCGTGAAAATGATGCCATAAACAGGATTTAATTAAAACAATAAATATTTCTAATTCGTTTTCATTGCAGTTCTTTTCAATAAATTGCCCTGATTTTTTCTTTTACAGCAGGATTCGCAGGCGGCATCCTGTCTCCTTATTTGCCACCCTCTCCTGTGTTTTTAGGGAGCGGTGCACCGGTGGGAAGTCACAGGCGCAAAAGAAGGCATAGGACAATATTCACAGAAGAACAATTAGAACAGCTCGAGGCTGCCTTCGAAAAGACACACTATCCTGATGTTCTTCTAAGAGAAGAGCTGGCACTCAGGGTTGATCTCAAAGAAGAAAGAGTTGAGGTAAGAATTATTTTTGCCTTTTTTCAGTTTAATAAATTAATAAATTAAGCAGTTTTGAAAATCGTTTATTTCAAAGCATAAAAGTTTAGCATTCAACTATCAGGTTCTATGTTCCGCCTTACTTTCTTTGGGAACATGCAAAGACCTGACTCGGAACAGGGAGCTTACTAAAGCTATGTTCAATAGCTGGGAAGTAGAACAGGATACACAAGAAGGGTATACAAACCCTTTATTTTTTCCTCTTTACACTAACTTCCGTACTTCGGAATACAAGACCCACTGCTGTGGTCTAAACGTAAAAATATAAAAATAAAACTAAACAACTCTAATTTAACTTTAAAATAATAAACTGGAAGATTGGCCTTATATTAACAGGAAGCCGTATGTAGTACAGAGAACTGTTGAACACTACAATACGTTTTAAAAATTATCAAGAGGATTAAACCTCTGGCCTGGAAGGCAACCAGCAACTGAGTAAAACTTCTAAGGTAAGCGGCCTGCTTCGACTAACTCCTTCCTCTCTCCTCGCTTGGCAAAAAGCCACAACTTAAGTACTTGGCGTTCGCCAGACAAACTTTGCATAAATAAGTTAACGCTTTTAATTTAATTCTGGCCGGAAGTAGAAAATAAGAAGTGATAGTAAAGATTTAAAATAAAAATAAACGTTAGTAAAACTTAAGATCCTTACATACTTCCCGCCAGAGATAGTTAATTAGTTTGAAAACTGAGGTCTACTAAACGACCTTGTTTGAAAACTTTAGCTAGAATCTAACGCGAGGCCAATCTTTTACAAACATTTCTCACTAGAAACTAGAAATTAAAAAAAAAAAAAGAAATTTGTTTTTACAATAGCAGCTCCCAGGACAATTTTTTTTCATCTGTACTGCATCTAAACAGGAGCTTTTATTCAAATCTTGTTCCTTCCAGAGATCTGGAAGGAAAACTAGTTTAATGAAATGTTACACAATGAAATGGCAAGTAACATGTAATATTTATATTTCGCTTAACATTCTTATTTCATTCATGACTATTTTAAATTATCTCTCCCCCGTGCTCTCTGACATGTGTTGTAAAAGAACACCAAACACGAATGTGGTTTCTGTCTACGTGTGCAACACTTCCCCTCCTACAATCAAAACACTAACGTGTTAAAATTCAACACTAAAGACCTCATAACACACCCTAATTTCAACTCTAAACCTGAGGTACTATTCTGAAAGTGGCTAACTCTGAAAGTGTAGCGTCAGAGAGCCTAACTACAAATCATTCAACCACAAACTTTAACACATATTCACCATGATTTAGTCTTTTTAACAGTCACACGAATAAAAAAAATTTTAACATACTTTCACTTTTACCATATCACGGTATTTCTTAACATTTAAAATAACAGTTCACATTGTATAAGAACATATAACATGCCGTTAATTTTACACATTTGAAAACATACATTAGTAGTACATTGTTAACTTCTATTCTTTTCAAAGCAAGTGCCAATTCTTTCTACATTGAAATACTACATTTCAAAAAGTCTTTCAGACTAAACTTCTTTCTTGCCAGAAAGTTTTAATAAAATTTATACAATAATTTTCAATATTTAAGTGTTTACACATCGCTATTATACATCACTTTAGTTTTTTACCCGCGAGATTGAAAAAATCTTTGGATTCTGGGAACATGCAAAACTGACTCGAAGGGAGCTTACTAAAGCTTTTCAATACCTGTGGGAATAGACGACACAAGGGTAAAAAAAACCCTTTATTTTTCTCTATTTACAAAATTTCCGTACTTCGGAAATACAAGAAAAGACCCACCTGCTTGTGGTCTGAACGTAAAATTAAAAATAAAACTAAAACTCTAATTTAACTTTAAATAATAAACGTTAAGATGGCCTTATTTAACAAAACGATGTATACAAAACTGTGAAACTACAATACGTTTGAAATTATCAAGAGGAGTAAACCTCTGCCTAAGGCAACCGCAACTGAGTAAAACTTCTAAGTAAGCGGCCTCTTCGACTAACTGCTTCCTCTCCCTCGCTTGGCAAAAAGCCACAACTTAAATACTTGGCGTTCGCAAGACAAACTTTTGCATAAATAAGTTAAACTTTTAATTCTGGCCGGAAGTAGAAAATAAGAAGTGATAGTAAAGATTTAAAATAAAATAAACGTTAGTAAAACTTAAGATCCTTACATACTTCCCGCCAGAGTTAATTAGTTTGAAACTGAGGTCTTAAAACGACCTTGTTGAAAACTTTTAAGCTTAGAATCTAACGCGAGGCCAATCTTTTACAAAAACTCCTCACTAAAAACTATCTGACCTAGAAATTAAAAAGTCGTTTTTCACATTGGCATTTCCATGGACAAATACTTTTCATCTGTACTGCATCTAAAAACAGGAGTTTTTCTTAGTTGAATCTTGTTCCTTCCAGAGATCTGGAAAACTAGTTTAATGAAATGTAAAAGAAGGAAAACTAGTTTAATGAAATGTAAAGGAAGGAAAACTAGTTTAATGAAATGTTAAACAATCAAATGGCAAATAACATGAACACGTATATATATCTTTTACAACTCTATTCTTATTTCATTCATACTATTATTTAATTATCTCCACGTGCTCTCTGACATGTGTTGTAAAGAGAAACACGTGCGTGTCTATGTACAAGTGTTCATCACTACCGCCTACAATCAAAACACTAACGTGTTAAAATTCACCATAAGAAGACCTCAGAACACACCTTATATTCATCTCTGAACCATGAGGTACTATTCTCAAAAAGTGGCTAACTCTGAAGTGTAGCGTCAGAGAGCCTAACTACGTTCATTCAACCTTTACACATATTCATCCCATATTTGCTCTTTTTACAGTCACACGAATAAAAAAAATTTTTGGCATACTTTCACTTTTAACATATACAGTATTTCTTAACTTTAAAATAACGTTCACATTGTATATAAGAACATTTAACATGCGTTAATTTTACGCATTTTAAAACATACATTAGTAATCATTGTAACTTCTATTCTTTTCCAAGCAAGTGCCAATTCCTTTCTACATTTGAAATACTACATTTCAAAAGTCTTTCAGACTAAAACTTCTTTCTTGCCAAATCTTTTAAATAAAATTATATATACCATAACTTTTTTACAATCTTTAAGTATTTACACATTCCTATTATACATAATTTTAGTTTTACTCGCGAGTAATTGAAAACTCTTGGGATCTTTGGAAACATGCAAAGCCCTACTCGAACAGGAGCTTACTAAACTATGTCAATACCTGTGGGAAGTTAGACAGAATACAGCAAGAAGGTATACAAAACCCTTTTTATTTTTTTCTCTATTTACAATAACTTTCCGTACTTCGGAATACAAACCCCCACTGCTTGGTCAAACTTAAAATATAAAATAAAACTAAACTCTAATTTAACTTTGAAAATAATAAACGTGGAATTGGCCTTTAATTAACAGGAAGCCGTATGTAGTACAGAGAACTGTTTAACACTACAATACGTTTTAAAATTATCACAGGATTAAACCTCTGGCCTGGAAGGCAACCAGCAACTGAGTAAAACTTCAAGGTAAGCGGCCCTGCTTCGACTAACTTGCTTCCTCTCCCTCGCTTGGCAAAAGCCACAACTTAATACTTGGCGTTCCCCAGACAACTTTGCAAATACTTAACGCTATAATTCTGGCCGAAGTAGAAAATAAGAAGTGATAGTAAAGATTTAAAATAAAATAAACGTTAGTAAACTTAAATCCTTACATACTTCCGCCAAGTTAATTTTTGAAACTGAGGTCTAAAAACGAACCTTGTTTGAAAACTTTTAGCTCTAGAATCTAAACGCGGGCCAATCTTTAAAACATTTTTCGCTAGAAACTAGAATTAAAAGAAAGAATGTTTTTTTGTTTAGGGGAATAGCAATCCCCGGACACGCAATTTTTTTCTTCCTTTGGTACTTGCATCAAAACAGGTATTCAATCTGTTCCTTCCAGAGATCGGAAAAACTATTTAATGAAATGTTACACAATAAATGGCAAGTACATAATATTTAATTTCCTCTTAACATTCTTATTTCATTCATGACTATTTTAATTATCTCTCCCGTGCTCTCTGACATGTGTTTGTAAAAGAACACCAAACCGAATGTGTTTCTGTCTACGTGTCAACACTTCCTCCTACAATCAAAACTAACGGTTTAAAATTCAACATACCAAACCTCGTAACACACCCTAATTTCAACTCTAAACTGAGGTACTATTCTGAAAAGTGGCTAACTCTGAAGTGTAGCGTCAGAGAGCCTAACTACATCATTCAACCTTTAACACATTTCACCATGATTTAGTCTTTTTTAACATCACACGAATAAAAAAAATTTTAAATCACTTTACTTTAAACTTCCATATCACGGTTTATTTCTTAACATTTAAAATAACATTCACATGTATAAACATATTAACATGCCGTTAATTTTAACACATTTGAAACATACATTAGTAGTACATTGTTAACTTCTATTCTTTTCAAAGCCAAGTGCCATTCTTCTACATGAATACTACATTTCAAAAAGTCTTTCAGACTAAAACTTCTTTCTTGCCCATAAAGTTTAAATAAAATTTATACCATAACTTTTACAATCTTTAATTACACGCTATTATACATCAACTTTAGTTTTACCCGCGAGTAATTGAAAAA